ATAAATAAAAAATTACATACCTACATATATGCATGTATAAAATTTTTAATTCTCTCAAATTTAATTAATAACACTCTTCGATGGTTAAAGAAGGCATGTCCGTTTTATTAAAAGCACGTGGTTTTCCCCTGTAATTCTTCTTTTCTTTCATTTCCCATAAATTAAAACTCAAAATGTTAAAATGGTTGAGTCTTGCGCTTTAGTCTACATTATTAAATATTTTAATTTCTCCGTAAAAATTTCTTTAAATAAAAAAAATTTATTAAAATATTAAAAAAATTATTTTTCTCTCTATTTATTTTCTTTTCGTAAAAAAGAGAAAATAACATTTTACTTTTATATAAAGCCATATAAACAACCATGGTACAAACATGTTATAAATAATAAAAACGTAAAGTATAAAAGCCGGTAGGTGTAAGAATATTATAATAATTTGGTATTCTTAACGAATTAACATCGCGTTTTGATGTGGTATGCTGTAGAATGCTTAAGCACACATATACTTATATCTATATAAAAAGTCACTTAGTTATTTTGTGTTCATAACATAACCACAATTTGTATATTTGTATATTTAATGAGAAATGTATATAATATTTTATATCGAGTGTCTCCAATTATATTTAAAAAAAAAATATTTTTGATTGTATAATAAAATGAAAAAAATTAACAAAAATTTGAAACTCATTATCTATACTCGTATGATTGATATAGGAAAATTAAAAATTGCTTTGACTCGAAATTACGCCTCTTTACGCTCTCACTCTACAAATAAGCTCTTGAACAAATAAAAATTATCTTTCATTTTCAATTGTACGATGTTATTGCTCAAATTGTATATAGGCATCAGAAGGACTTTTCAAAAATATCGCAAATAGAATGATTTACCAAAAATATGGAGTAGAAATATTAACAGAACTGTTATACAAATGTGCAGGAGTATAACACAATTAGTAAGAGTAGTGACGTAAAGCACATCTTCGTTAAATTGCTTTCTATATCCACTTTTAATTCAAGTACTTAATGTCGATTTTTATGGGTTAGTTTTTTCTCTTAAATAATACCATTATAGAAAAACAGAGATCAATTTGTACTTCCTTTCTGTTGATCCAAAAACTTCCGCAACCTGAAGTATATAAACTGAACTACTTTTCTTTAATGTGTTTATAAAATATTCACGAAATAAGCTTTGACATACATAAATTTTTTATTATTAGATTATTTGAACTTTTTGACGAAATTGATTAATCATACCTTCAATTATGGCGTAAATATCTATAAATAAATTATATAATTTTATTAAAAAATTACTCAAATTAAATGAGTGAAATCGAAAAAATTTTAGTATATGCGGCTTTTTGTGTTCCTATTCTCTCAATTAATTTATATACAAATTTTCTTATAAGAAAAAAATCCATACTAAAGGCCTGATCTCGCCATTTTACTCGGAAAGTGAGAAAAAAGTGAGTAACTATTCACTTTATTTTTGAAAGTGAGAAAGCAAGTGGATGCAAAAATCTAATTGAAAAAATGAGTAATTTTATTGAAGTAAAATGTCCATTAGAAAATACTAAAGAATTCTGATTTGAAAGTGAATAAAAGATGAGTAAAAAAGTGAGATACACGATCAGCCTGTAAATCTTTATACATAAATAATTAAAAGATTTATTATAACAAAAACTTTTTTAAATATTTTTTTAAAAATTACCAAAAATTTAACAACTTTTCTATTGGATTATTTATGAAAATTTATTAAAATAATTATTTAACAATTTACCTACAAAAACTCTGTAGAACACATTTAAATATTAAAATAAATTGACATAAAAATTTTTCACTAAATAATTTACCAATTATTCTCTCATTATAAGCTTAAAAAACTAATTTAATAATAAAAACTTAAAAAGAAAATTTTGAACTTCATTAAAAAAAAAACCACTAAATCAATTTACTGATTATATAATAAAGTCTTTTTCTCCCGCTCTGCCTCCCCCACTCCTCTTTCAATTTTTCATTTATATAAACACATTTTTCTCTTTTTTCTCTTTTAACAATCTTATTAACTTTTTATAGCCCAAAATTTTCAATAATGAAGTGCATAATATAGAAAATGAAATTTTAATAAAATGCAGTTAAGTAAAAAAAACAGTTATACAACTTTAAAAATTCGTATAAAAGAATAAAAAAGAAAAAATTAAAAATTTATTATCCTATAAAGAAATTTAAGAAAAAATTAAAAGAAGAAAAAAATATATATAAATTTCCACAGCTGATAAGAAATTCAATTAAAATTTTCTAAAAGATTTGCAGATGCCTAGAGCATTTATAATATCTCACCTCCCCCACCTGGAGAATTATAAATGCAAAAAGAAAACAAAACTATAATACAAAAATTAAATCACTTTGCAAATTTTTAATGGCCTTTTTTTTCTTGTTGCTTTTTTAGAAAACCGAAAAAAAAAAGAGAAAGATAAACTTAAGAAAACTCATCGCATTTCGATTATCCTGGCAAGCATATAGAACAAAATTTTCCTTCAAAACGAAAAGAAAAAGAAGAAAAGCTCAATTCGTTTCGGATAAATTCATTTTTTGTTTCTTTTTTTTTCTATATGGTGAATATATCATTAAAAAATTTCATTTAACTAAAATGAATATTCAAAAATTTATAAAATAGTCAAAAAACTCATACCAATTTTTTAAAGTAATCTTATGTATATTCTTCTTCCTCCTAATTCCTTCTCCCCCCCCCCCCCCCCCCCTCTTTTAAATTTCTCTCTTTCAACCATACACTCTTAAAAATATTAATTTTTTTTTATAAAAAATTATAAGTATATTTGTGTATACTTCCCGCCTGAATTTGCCTGCCGCCTAAATCAAGCAATACTTGCATACACATAATATGTATATGCATAAATACAGATTATGTGGACCGCGAGTGTAAAAATTTAAATGATATTAGCGGTATCGGAGCAGTTTTAAAAATACCGTGACAAGTCAACGGTATGACAAAAAAAAAACAAAAATTTATTACTTTTTCCAAACATTTTTTCCTTTCTATTTTTATTTTTTACCCTTAAAAACTTCTCGTCGTATACGAGTATCTATGTTCATTATCCAAATAACCATTTTTTTTTCAATAGGAATTTTTCCCTCGGGATATTCTCCGTTACACTATTTTATGCATGCATCGTACTATATATGTATGTATGTTTGTTGGGTATAAAAGTTAAACGATATTTTAAATTTACCTTGAGTTCATAATTCTTAAGAATTTATATCAGAATTTTTTTTTTTTATAAGTATTAATAATAAAAAAATAAAAAAAGAAATTCGACAGCTTCTAGATGTATAATGTGTGTATATTGTTTACATATAATTTAAGTGGTGAATAAGATTCGAATTTAGTTAATTTATACCAAGTAAACATGTAAGCATACCTATAGGTCTTTTATATCATACTATATTGGTTATACAAGAGTATTGTATAAGTGAAAAATAAATATTAAAAAAAATGGAGTAATTTCACATGCATCTAGTAAAATTGAAGAGATTTTAAAAAATCATAAAATATTTAGGCGCAATAAATATTTTTTTGATCTCAATTTACAGCCCTTGTTTCGGAGACTACTCAAGGTGATATTTAAAAATTTATAAAATAGTTTATATTGAATAGTTTAAAGGTCTAGTCTAAATTTATTAAACGTCATACTGCACTTTTATTGTGCAGACAAAAAATTTTGTAAATTGTAAACTTTTGAAATAATTATAATGAAACCAAATGAATCAAGTGAGACTAAATTAATATTTCTTTAAAATTTGTTATACGATCAACTTCTTCTCGTAGAGGAGTTTAGCAGATTCCTTATAGGAAAATAGTTAGAAAACAAATCTGTCCTTCCTGTTTTTTGTTGTAAATTTTTCAAGCGAGATCTCAGGTGACGAAAATTGTTTTAAAAAGAGTTGTTTCTACTTCTGATTACGGAAAATTTTTGTTTAGTACTGAAAATGCAATTAATAGGTGAATTTTATGACTAACAGATATCACATTGACATAAGCTTTGGTATCTATATCTTCACGAATAATTTAGACATAGTTGGTTTTTTTCATATTAAATGTAACAAATATCTAGGTAGACAAGACGTAATAAATAAATGAATTCCCATCAGTATCGCCTCACCCTATTGGAAATCATAAAAAATAAGCTTCATAACTTACATTTTCTGTTCAAATTCATTTTTTTTTATTATTTAGATACCAAAGCAACTAACCCGGGTACAGTCTTACATTAAGCTGCACATATTTTATTTCAAATAAAATTTTCGCATACTTAAGCATTAAAAAATTTTTCAAATAGCTTTTGCATTTAGAAATGTTCAAGAAATGCGCCTACATCTTTAGATATTGTTTATAGAATTTAATTAAGAATTGTTTATAGAATTTAATGTAATGTGAATCGTTTTTGTCGACACTTCTGTAGAGAAATTTTATGGCAAGAACGTTTTATTGAAATTTTAAACGTATTTTGCTAGTAGATAAGAAAAGGTTGAACGATTTGGCATGCAATTTTGGATCACTATTAATTTATAAGTCGATATTGTGAGTATATAAGGAATGAGTACTATTCAGAGAAATTTCAAACACATTTTGCTATTAAAGAAAATGAAAGAAAGCGATTACTTATATTTTTCTTTTAAATTCCAAAATAAAATACCGTCTTAAAAAAAAAATGATCCGGAAAATCTTAAAAAAAAAAACCAATTTTTTTTATATGATCATTTTAATTTTATATTTTAAATAAATCTATGTTAAATATAAGTTTTTTTTTTTTATTTTTTATATTTCATTTTTATATTATACAATTTTTTTTTAATTTGTTTTTTTATTTTTATTTCACGTTTTTTTCTTCTTCTGTTTATGTGTTAATACATTTACATGAAAATAAATTTGTTTTTGTTTTTTTTTTTTTATTATTTTTTTCTAATGAATTTTAAAATGTTTTATTTTCTTCTAAAAATCATTTATAATTACATTATTAAAATCTTAAAGTCGAAAATTATTAATAATCATTTTAAGGAATAATTATAAATCAATATTATTTTTAATTAGAATAAGTCTAATAGTACTCACATATTTCTTTCTTTCTTTTAATTGAATAACGAAAAAGAGTAAGAATTTATTTTTTATTCGTTCATTATTTTTAATTAAAAATTTTTTTTTATTGCATACATTTACTGTGTCTTTGTTCTAATTCCCATTGTTTTAATTGTAGATTTCATCCCATTTGAACAATTAAATTTGTTATTTAGTTTGATTAAATTAAAAAGGTTTCAAAAATCTTAAAATTTGAATTAAGATTTTCAGCTATTTTTAAAATTTTTCTTTTTATCTTTGAATGTAATACAAAAAAAAAACATTTGAATAATTCTTTACATTCTTATGAAAATAACAATTAGTTACGCACTAATATACATGATCTTTTTGAATTATGATACAATGATCTAGTTACTTTGAAAGGAAATTTGAAAATTATCATGAATGGAATCCGCATTATTCTATTAATAATCTTTTCGTATCCACTTTGTTACGACTTTTTTAAATTGTCCTATGGACAATAATGAATGTTGTTCTCTCTTATTATGTTTTTTATTTTAATTTTGAATAAATATAAAAACACAGAATATTTCTATAAATAATTGTTCACTTGAAAAATAAAAAAAAAAAATCTTATAACAGTTTTTCATTATATTAATTAATTCAATTATTTGCTATTTCGAAACGAAAAAAAAATTTTTTTTTTATTAACGAAATTTGCAAGAAATGATTTGCATAATTCTATTAAATGTGTATTTCTAGTTTGTTAACTTCCATAATGTTTTCTAAAATTTTGGCAAAACAATAATATTTGCAAAAAGTTGATGTAACCAAATCATTCGTTTTTTGTGATCTTTTATTTTAGTTTTTTTTTTTGAAACGATTAATTCAGAAAAATTAACAGATACAAGCATGAAAGCGCAAAATATTCAGCCAAATTCAGAAAAACAAGATAAAAAAAGTGTTTTTTTTTTTTTTTTTTGTTATTAAATATAATTATATAGATATTATATATATATATATATAACTAAAATAAATTTTTATGCCAAATAAACATAAACTTTTCTATCATCCGGCGTTCTTGCTAGGTATTCTCTTTCAATAAGGCCTTCTATTCGCTTTTTAATAAACACGGGGGATGGTAAAAATCGAGACTTTAATTGCGATGTCACATCAGATACAAGCAAATTATGCTAAAATAAAAATTAAATTAAATTATTTATTTATCTAACTGTAAATTTTAAAATACGAGTAAGTTATTTATTTATCTAAATATAATAAAATATTACCGTCATACGCTTTCTTGCTTTCATTATTCTTACAATTGCTGCCTCAATTTCATGTTTACGATCTTCATCAACTTTACCACGTGTTTCTCTACGTTCAGGCTCCGATTCACCTTTAGCAGCAACAGTTTGAATTTTTACTCTGTTGAAATAGTTTGAAAAAAAAAAGCAGATCAATCTTTGTAATTTATGTTAAAGCTGATTATGTATATTATAAGTACCTGTGGAATTTAGACACAAAAGCATCATTAATATGAAATTCATTTGTAGGCTCAATGTCTTTTGTTTTTGGATTTCTAACCAATAACCGTTGAGCTGGTTTACCCATTGACAGTGATTGTAAAGCTCTGATCAATTCACGTTCAGGTATATCGGTTTCCTGTAGAATCTCATCATATGATAAACGTTCGCGATTATTAAATAACATTAGAACACACATCTGTTATTAAGCAATTAAAATAAATTATATTCTGAATTTTCATTTTATTCTTAAAATAATAATTACTTGATAAGTTGAAGTTTGTAACACATGCTTCCTCGTTGTTGTTGGACATTCGTTGCCTACCGATGTACAACTTGAGCTACTTGGACCATCTTTTTCTTTGTCTAATTCACCCTTTGAGGTACCATAAAATACTGCATTAATATATGCTGTCCCTAAGATGAGTAAAATTTAAAAAATAAGTAATAATTCATACACAATAGTAATAAATTAAAATAAGAATTTACCCATTTGTGGTTGTAAAGTCAATTGACGTCCTGAATGTTTGTCTAAATAAAATTTCTTAAATATTTCAAATGCTGTTCTTGGTGCCAATGGTATATTACAATTCGGTGTAGCTGTCTATAAATAAAAATAAGAATACATTCTCAAGCGTTTTTAAATTAATACAATAAAAATATTACTTGTGTTGGCCAAAATCCTGTGGTTAATATTCTAACAGTTAGTTCTACACCGGATAATGCCATTTTATGAGTATTTATATAATTCTTAAATTCTTCCATGATTGTATTTGAAACTGACATGTCTTTAAACATTCCTTCTAATTTTGAGGTAAATTGACAACCGCATTCAGTCTGAAATAAAAATTTTAATTAAGTATTGTAATTTAAATACAAAACCAAAGAAGACCTTTAATTTAGATATCATGTTCTTTTCAAAATCATCAGAGACTGATTTATTTAATAGAAGCCGTTTTGCCAGATGCGTTTTATAATACCGCTCAAATACATCTTTTTCTAATAAAAATCTGAATAGTACCATTGTTTTATCTAATATTAACTCAATTTCTTGTTCGCTCATCTAAAATGAAAAACATTATAATTTTAAATGTAATTAGAAATATAATATTAAAAACAGGATAAACAAACAATTTTCATCATTTTAATAACTTTATATGATAGCATAAAAATTCTCACCCCTTTTCCACCTTTCTTTAATTTGTCATCAATGAACAGTGACAAATATTCTGGTGATTTGCTATTTAAATTAAGAAAATGTTCAAAATCGGATGATATCATATTTTTAAATATCCTATCGTTATTAAACGAATGATAAAGAAAATGATCAAAACGATCTTTTAAATCCAATAAGTTTTGTACAAATGTTATTGGATTTGTACCATTTTCTTCTTCTTTAACTAACAATTTTCCTTGTTCACGTAAATATGTCGATACAGCATCAACAATAGTTTTTAAACCATCCTCTTTCAAGCGTGAAAACAATTTATACATACATGCTAAATCCTCTGTTTTCGAATTTTTTATCATATAGACAACACCAGAATTCTCCATTTCAACAATTGAACGCATATGTTTTTTAATTAATTCATCTTCAACTACCTTAACTATACGAGGTTCTGTGTCCTTATCCAAATAGAGAGCAGCGCGAGCTGATTCTTCTTGAATTCGTGACTAATAAATATATAAATGACATTTAAAAAAAAATTCAAAATTTATCTCGATAAAAATATTTTTATGCATACCTCAACTTTTTTAATATAAACACTGGCATTATTTTCCGCTAAAAATTTTTGTGATTCTATTTTATAAAATGATGCCGATTGAGCTAAAAAAGGTCGCTCAAAATCTTCTTCATATACCGTTCTTGTATTAATACCCAATGACATAAGCATTTGACATGCATTTTTAATTGCCAAATGATTGATAACTTCTCCATTTCGTTCAGCCATTACCATACCTAATAATGTTTCACGTAAATGCTCCTGTATTGGTCTATGTCTAACTATTTGTTCTTTAAATATTATTAAACCCAAATTATAAACATTTTCAACTTCATGCTGTTGAACATATACACGATCCATATACATTAATATGTCACGTATCATAACCATTGAAGTTTGATGATCATTCCATGCTTGATTTAATTTTGGCAAAAAATTATTTCGTAATGACTCAAGTACATCTTGTCTAACTTTATTTACTAAATGATCTGTTACAACTTCACGTAAGCCAACATATAAACGATTTCCGTGCTTATGTAATACCATTGTATAAGCATTTCTATATAATTCTTCAAATGATAAACCAGAATTGTTTTTCTTTTGAATTTCTTGTATTGCATTTTTCAATGATGCCCAAATCGTTTCAACATATTTTTCATCCATAGAGGTCTAAAAATTCAAACAAATTAAGATGGTACATAATATAAAATTAAATAAAATTAACTATTAATATACTATTATAATAATAAACAATGTTTTATTTACATAACTACAAGTTTCGAATAGGCTGGGAAAATTACATATCCACAATTTATTTAAGAACATTAATTATGAAGAAATTTAGGTAAAATTTATGTAAAATTTTATATCTAAATGCCCACATGGGGCGCAAATTATAAACTTGCAATACTTTTCTGTTCTTTCTAAAACGTATTTAGCTAAATTATTTTTATTTAAATACATTCATTTTATATAGTTGAGATAGGTATAGAAAATATTTTCAGAAATTATTAATAACGAAAAATAGTTTTATTATTCAAAAGAAAATCTACAAAACTAGCCATTAATATCAAAGGCTTTATTCTTTATTGAAATTCTTTATATTTCTAAATTTCTTTATTTATAAAATGTTCCATAAACAAAGAAATTGGTTTGTATGACATTTAAATATAGAGCCAATAAAATTATTAGAAACACTCAATGACAAAGTAAATGCAGTTTTTATTTATTAAATATAAAAATTTATTTACATATACCTAGCCATATTTTTAAATTTAGTTTTTGCGTTTTAGCTTACCGGAAAAGCACGTATCCTCATTTTGCCATCCTTTTTAGGGGCTGGACCTCTCATATTCATTTTAATGCTGTGTATTATATATCTTGTCTTCTTAAATATGAATATTATATTTTTTTGAAGATTTTTGAAAAAAATTTTCTGTCTTTACATATAATATATAAAAAAATTACTTCCGAATGCTTTTCCTTTTTGATAATACAAATATAAAACCTAAAAATAAATATTAAATATAATATATTAATACAATTTTTTTTAGAAGAAATAAATTTCGATAGGAATCAACAAAAATGCAATATAATAATACCATTAAATTAAAAATGTACGCATAGATAGGTACCGGAAAAATAAAAAGAAATTAAACTAGAAATTAATGAACCTATATGTATTCATTTTTATGATTAATATATGAATATGTAGGTAAAAATATCATAACCTATCTATTCCATTTATTTTTTTTTTCGAAATATAAAATATTTACCGTGAAAATTAATTTTTTTTTTAAATATTTTGAAAATTTGAAATAAAAATTTAATTATAATTTTTATTTTTGATTGAAGTTTTTGAATTATTATATTTATTTAAATTTAATAAATTTAATAGGTAACTTGAGAATGTTTACAAACCTTAACAAACGCAAAAAAAAATGTCGACTTCAATTTTTATTTATTTTTATTATAAACTTTTTCTTAATTTAATTTTTTGTTCCTATCGTATTTTTTACATTATAAATAAATCTATTTAAAGAATTCTTTCAATGCAATCAGTAAATTTTGAAAAAGAAATTTTAAGTGACTTTTGGGGAAGGTTTTTCTTTATTTTCTTTTTTCTCTCCTTAAATTTTGTGTACCAAATTTTAATTACAACACCATTTCTGAATTTAGATGTCTCGTCATAAAATTTTTTCCCCTTTTTTTCCTTCTTACAAATTTTTGATAAAAATTTTTGTATTTGGAACAAAAATCTTTTTTTTTTTCTGTATAAGTACAATGTAGTAAATACTAAATTTTCTCTAAAAAAAATTACTAACTTGAAAACATTACAAAATCGAAAAAATTTTCCATTTTATAAAAAAAAAAAACAGATTTGTCAAAAAATAAGGAAAAATTTTTTGTCTACGAATAGAGAATCAAATGACATTGCACTTTAAATAAAAAAAAAATAAAAAAAAACTTTTTAAGGAAAATTTTTATTCCTTTATATAGAAAAATTCTTATATATTTTTTTTTATTTAACACTTTGAAATTTATTGTTATAAAAATATATTAATTTAGATATGAAAACAAAACATTATACAATTTCCATTTATTTTCTCAAAATTTATATTGTTTTGCGTTTATTTATTTACTAAAAAAATTTGATCAAATTTTTTGTTCATTGAAATTTTCTTTTTTTTTTTTATTTTACTTGGAAACAAAACTGACCGACTGATTGCCAAGTTAAAAGAATCAAAAAAAAAATCAGCTTTTTTTAAAGTTAAAAAGAGAACGAACGAATATATATTTGACAGTCTATTAAAACGAGAAAATGTTTTCTTTCTTAAATTTTGACATTTTCTCATTATGGTTGTGTGGCGCTGTTTCATAAATACAAAAACGTTAGACATGTTGTGGTTTTGTAGTTTTCATTGACATATAAAATAAATGACAGCTTTCATTTAAACTAACGTTTACCAAATGCCAAATAGGACAGAAAAAAAATAAAATTTCAGAAAAACCCAAAACATATGTTTTGAGATTCATTTTTATGAAACATATTATTTTAAAAATGCTTTACTTTTCAAAAAAAATTAAAGAATATAAAATTTTTCCACTTCACTAATATTTTTACGTTTAAACTCTTTAAAACACCGCATATTTGAAATGAATATTTTTAAGAATTTAGAAAGTTAAATAACACTTAATGTGCATAAGCGATAATATTCGAATGGAATCACTACTTAAAACTATAGGGTACAAAATTTAGTAAAAAAAATTTAATCGGTTTCTAATGTACATTTTAAAAATCAGTTTAATTTTTAATCACAGATAGGATACCAAACATTTTAAAGAAAATCAAAATATCAATTACACAGGCTGATAAAACTAGGAAAACTTACAAGCAAAATTTTGGGTTTACAAAATAGAATAATTATATTTATTTCATTCTTTATATTATTTTCTATATGAGATTTTTTTCAACAAAATCATACTTTAACCAAAATTATTAATAAAAAGTGCCTCTTTTTCTTAATTATTCACTAAAATAAAAATAAATCACAAAAATTATTTTTTACTTTCTTCACCCAACAACATGACACTTCAATCAGATTCTTAATTAATTTCGACTTTTGATGTATGATGTCGTTTAATATTACATAACTGTCAAATATAGTACGACAAACACCTTACAAACTACATAGTTTTACAATCAATCTCCAATTTTGTTCTTTCTAAAATATCTTATTTAATGTCTTATTTTAACTTACGTCTTAATTTCTAAAAACTTTATTTATGGCTATTTTCTCCCGTAGCTATATTTTAAATAAAGAAAATAAAATTGCATATTATATATTTTTGTAATACATACATACATAAGTGTAAGTGTAGATTCGTACAACCGTGAACTCAAAAAAGAATTGCACTAATAAAATATTAAATTGAAGTAAAATATGCCTTTTATTATAATTTTATTTTAATTTATTACCAAATAAAATCAAAAATAAAACAATATTAACAAAAAATCTCATTTTTATACACTTTCAAAAAATAATATATATAAAAACGAATAAAGATTTTGGCTAGTCATACCAAAAATAGTATTAAAATGTTTTGAGCAATTTTTTAGCTACATGATAATAGCAGTCTATTGAGTTTTTACGCAGTAAAATAAAAATTAAGTTTTGGTTCTGAAGAATCAATAAACATTTTGCAAACAATAACACTTCAAAAATTAAAAGGAATCGTAAACGTTTTCCTGACGTAGAATGAAAACAAATACATAATTTGATATTTTGTATGAAATTATATTTCTTCACTTAAATAAAGGGTGATTTTTAAATATAATTGAAATATTTAGTTTATAATGTTTAATTTAATCTATAAGTATAAATCGTCACATATTTATTAAACATCATTTTATTAAAATGCTGGCTGCAACTAAGTTTCAGGTAATTCATTCGATGGATTAAATTTTGAACTTGAAAGAATGACGGTGAATTGCCAAAAATTGAAAAATAAACATTTAAAAAATCACCTTTCAATAAAAATTCAAAAATGTTAATGAGTAAGAGTGAATACGTGAAGCAATTCTTTTTTATAGAAATTACCTCAACGACGATAAAGATTTATTTGGATTTTATTTTAAAATTGTTTCATTAATAATTTTCGAACTGCTTTAGAATTTTTGATAGTGTAGTGACAAAATTCTTTCAACCAGAAAAATGCTAAATTTTTATGAGTTCTTTTCACGGCTGACAGATATTTTTCTTTATGTCAAAGTTCATTCACATTAAATATTTGTTACAATTTTCATGTAACGTATATATATCAATATTAATTTATTTTGTGCACAATATGTTAAATTAAATTCTGTAATTGTAATTACATACCAAAATTGAAATTTATAAAACATATTTTAGAAAAAAAGTATATGTATTATGTGCATACCTATTTTATAATTTTCTATCCAAATAAAAATTTCTCTTAAGTTTTAAGTAAAAGAGAATTTACTAAGTAAAGAAGCAACATTAAAGTAATAGCTACCTTTTATAAATTCATGTTTACAAACCTTTAATCTTTATACGCAAAGCTTTACACCCTTGATAGAACAAACTAAAGAGATTTGCATTATTTTTATTAATTTATTCTCTTTAATGAACACAAAATACATGCATAGTATTTACTAATGAACAATCTTGACATAATAAAATAACAAGCCTGGACAGTGAGAGATAATGACGATTCTGCAAAGCCAAACAAAACGACAATTTTATACATTTTTTTTTATAATTCTTAGAAAAAAAAATCTTTAGCATCAGTTACTATCCTGTTACAGAAAAAACTATAGAAAAATGAATCACAGAAAAAACTAGAAAAAGATTTTTTTTAAATTTGTCATCATTGTTTTGTTTTTTGATGAACCGCATCCTCTCGATATCCAAGCCTGTATTTTGAACACGTCGAGGTCGTGTTGTTCAGTTTGCCATGATATGCATGAACATATATGCCAGGTGTGATGATTTATCGTTATTTGTTTTTTATAGCAATTTTCCTCACGTGGAGAAGAGACATTATTCCGAAATATCTATTATGAAAGCAAAATAAATAAAAATTAAATAATAATACTTTAATAATCATCATCCCAAGTGTATTTGGTAAATTTAAGCTTGATTTCGGTTTTGACCGTTTTCTAAACGTGTTTTGACGTTCTTTAATTTAAATTTGCCGTATTTTAACTATGTGACTCAGTTGAAATTCGCAAAATTTGAGACTTGGGCAGCACTGTCCATGGAGCACAACCAGCGTCCCCATCATAGTACTTTAGTAACAAAAGTGCTATTTTTTGCAAAAATTTTAAGGTGACATCAAATTTTCAGAATTCTTCAAAGCCAGACAAAACGAGAATTTTCGACCAATTTCAAATAATGCTTTCTTTCATAAAATGATACTCATTTCAAATGTTCGTTTGATTTCTTTACCTTCATGTTTAAATTTCTTTTTCTTATTCTACTTAATTTTTTTATAAATTCCTATAAAATTCATATTTGCATAATTGCTTTTTTGACATTTTTTTTATTGTTACATAATGCTGCACCTTAATAGTAAGATATGGCAGAACTACAAATATAAAGCCATCGCCAAATAAAATAAAAGTAAGTTAAGCGAAGTTAAAGTTGTTTATGAAATAGGTTAATCTCAGATTTCATTTTTATTTTTACAGAAATATTTTTTATCTTTGAAAGCAATTTATTGGATGAAATAAACTATGCTACTTTTATGGTACTTTTTCAATTCAATGTTTGCCACAATGCTGTTTTTTTTTCTAAAATTTTGATACTTGTGCTTCATTTCAAGTGGCAACCCTGAGCATAACAACAAAAAAGCACAACGAATATAATATTATTATATGCAAGCAGCAAGCAGAGAAAAACAGAACGAACTTTTCAGAACTCTATATAATATTATCTCCGATTCTCCAATAATCTCCATTCTCCAACACATACACATTTTAGCTTAAGAAAAAGAATTGAAGTTCTCTTTTTTCTACTTTATTTTTATTACTATTTTTACGGTTGAAAGTAACGGTTCGTTGAATCGCTTATACATATTTTTCGCGTAATAACCGTGTTTTAAAAGCACTGAACTGATAAGTTTTTTTTTTCTCCCTAGTGTTATATATGCATACAAACATAAGTAGTTATAATTTTGTTTAGGCAAACTAACCACAGAAATAATTATTCTTTTTTGACATTTTACAACTTGTTATGTTTTTTTTTTTATACTTGGTTGTAGAGAACTGGTTTATAATCTAAAAGAAAGAAAAAAAAAAAATTTAGTCTTATGTAGCTACATGTGGATTTGACGTCAAAATTAACTAAAAAAATTGTGTTTTTCTGATTTTTTTTAATTTAATTTCAATTTTAGTTTCAAAATAAAAAAAAATTCAAATAAAATAAAGAATTTTTTAAAATAATTTCATTTTTATTTTAAAGGTGATCTGTTATAATTTTTTTGAATGCAAAGCCAATAAAACAAACGCATACCGTAATATATTAATGAACACATAACAATTTGGAATATACAAACATATGTACATATGTGCTATAAAAGGAAAAAGGAATGTAATAATGAATGAAATTGATGAAAATAATTTAAAATCATCTGATGTAAATGCTACTATAGTAAATTCTTGTATTGAATCTACTAAAACAACATCTCATAATGATGATGAGCCTAATGAAAAATCATATTTACAAAAGAATAAAAACGAATTTGAACAAAAAAATCAACAACACTATAATACCAGTGATAATGATGTTAAAGCAATTCTAAATGAAATCAGTGGAATTTATTCAGAGCGGATAACTGAAATCGATCTAAAGGCTGCCGGTGATCATAAGGTACGAGTATTAGATATTATTTATTAATGAATGAAATTGTAGTACCAACGTATGCATTTTTACACGTTATTGTAGGTATAGGTAACCAAGGTATACAAGCTAACATTCAATAGTAGATAAGACGTATAGGTCTCACTTATTTATCTACTATTGAATCTGCCTGTTCTTCCTAGTTAACCTATAAGCACCTATCTAGCTCTTAATTACTTTACTTAATCGACAAAATTAACTAAGCTTTATAAGTACGTTCGCTTTTTCTAAAAAAAATATATGTATATTAAATCATACAGGTAAATTTACCTATTTATTTATTTATACCTTTACCTATATACATTTACCTATAATGCATGTAGGTATACCTAGTTATAATAATTTGGCTGAATTTTGTCGTGTTACTTTCAATTTGTGGTTTAATATTTGATTTCAGTTTTTGTTTTCTTATAATTTTTTTTTTAATTAAAAGTATATTTACGATTACGACATTTTCATATTATATGCATGTTGATATAGAATTTATAACATATAGATGGGTACATATTCGTATCTGCAAAAAAATATTAAAAGACGAAAGAATGTTTTACTTACATACGAAATTATAGAAATAGAATTATGTAAAATTGTAAAACATTTGTTTTGGACGAGTAACAGAAGCAAATATTATTATAATTTACTCTTTATATTAAGGCTAAGTTGTATATAGTTAACATTACATGTATTAAAAAGAAAATAACAAAGTTATAGTGTAATATAAACAAAATTATACGAACATTATTATGTATATACGCATATATAACTACATAATATGAAGATATACCTGTATTGATATAAATATTTGTTTTTTAAAGTGAATACAAAAAAAAACATAAAAAACAAAAACAAAGATTATAAATAAACATCAAATTTAATCATATACATAAATGCATAGGCATATATACTTATATACCTACCCAAATAAGTATAATATAACAGAAAAGAAAAGTGTTCTATGGCAAGGCAAATGAAAAAGTCGTGGCAAATAGTCAATTCTTTTCTAAATATTTTTGTTACTAATCTAAGATTACTAAAGTTTATATTTAATGAATAAGTAACTTCCTATCTATTTTATTGCTATAGTTTTTGGAGAATTTTTAAGATATTTATGGTATAATATTCAGTTTATTTGAATTAGTTGCATATTTAATTGTAATAATTGTAGTTCTTTGCGCAAATTATTACATATGCAGGATTTCTACAAAAAACTTTGAAATTCAATATTCAATTTATAATATATTCAATAATATTTTTGGAAACAAAAATAAAATAAATAATTTACTTTTCTATTTCTTTTTAGTTAAAGTGTGATACGTACAAAGAATGGATTCAAATATTAATTGAATTTATACATTATATGTTTGAAAATTTAAAAGAATTAGAGTTGAATGCGAAAAACGCTATTATACATTTAGAAAAAAGGCTTAATCACCGTAGAATTCTTGATCATGCTGATTTAAATAATGAAAATTTAAAAAATGATTTTTTAAATTTATTAACTCTAATTCGTCGTGTAGTTGAACAAGGGAATTGTGATGCAACTGGATTAGATTTTAAAACGATTACTAAAGAACAAATTTTTGACACGGAAAACCAAACAAATATATGCAACCAATCAAGTATAAATGTAAGCACCTAATTAAACACAATATTACAATATTATTCAGAAACAAAAACTTAAAAAATTGTAATATTTTTTAGATTCAAAAATTAAATTCTCAAATTATTGAAAATAGAAAGTAAGTACATATTTATACATAAAAGTTTAAAAGAAAAGACTTTAAAATTTTTTATTTTTTAAATAATTACATATTTTGAAATTTCAGTGAAATAGATAAATTGTCATCAGAAAATTATATTTTAAAAAATGAAATAGAAGAAAAGGATTTATTAATTTCGAACTTACAAAGTAAAATCAATAAATTGGAGAAAGTCGAGAAGTTTGAATGTAACCCAGCAACTCGGAATAATAATGATGATAGCGTGAGTGACGATGTTGTTGGAAAGCTTAAAAACTGTTTAGGTGAGCAAGAACAGTTGCTTGCTAAGGAATTAGAGAAAAATGTAATTCTAAATTTTACTTGATAATTATATATTATAAAATAAATTTAAAAATATGAATAACTTTTAGGAAGTTTTAACGACTGAATTGGAAATTATGAAAGCAAAATGTGAACGAAAGGAAAAGGTTAGTAATTTTCATTACAACTTCAAAAAAGAAGATTCAAATAATAATAAATGCTATTGCAAAAATGAAAAACCTGAGAAAAAATCTTCGTTCTTATATTTTTGGTAAATTACTGATTTCTTAATTGAGTGCACTCATTGTATGATTTTCAATTTTATATCTTATTAATTAAATTAATTAAATTAATTAGATCTGTCATTTTATTTTCTAATCGTTTTTGTTTTTCATTCGAATTTTAATTGAACATTTGAAAATCGTAAGCAAATTTTTTTATAATTTCAATTAATATCTATAAACATGCAAGTATTCCTTATTACTCCTTTTCGAAAATTCGTTTAATACATGAATATTTTCCCATAAGAGATATTGGGAAGTTTTTAGATGAAAGAAATTGATAGAGCGTTTAATGCTAAGTTCTTCTGACAATTTAAGGGTTAAAAGTAAATAATATTTATTTAAACAATGAATATGTTTTCTTTCATAATAATATGGTAAATTAATAAGCAATAAAATTAGATCATAATGATTCATATATATGCATATTATGAATTTGAATTTAATATGTAAATACCATTTCTACTAACATAATGAAAACCTAAAATTCACATTAGGGCTACGAAAAACTCTTATTTAATTATACCTTTTTGCAATATCATTTTACTTTAATCAATATGAAGTTAGATTCCAATTCATAAGAAGAAATGTATGCAAATGAGTGATTTGTAAATACGTAAATTGGATTATATTCTTGCATTGTTAAACTAAAGATTCTACATATATTTCATTAAATATATTTGCGACACGTAATTTTCTGTAATTTCTAAATGTTCCATAAAATGAAAGTGTGTTAGTTTTCAAAGAGGTATATAATGTAGATATGTATTTAAAGTATAAAGTTTTTAGGTTATCGAAAGCATGAAATCACTTGCATTTGAAGTAGCTGACAAACATGATCAAATTCAACAGCAAAAGGCTCATTTATTAACAATGGAAGAGGAATTACAACAGGCTCACAAAAAAATTCAATTTAAAGATAGTGTTATTAAAGATTTACGACGTGATTTAAAAAGTCAATTAACTAAGGTATATTTAAAACAATTTTTTTTGTTATAAATTAATTTGCTAATTAACTTAAAATTAATATAAAATGCGATTGGTTTTTTATATAATAATTATCATAATTCAGAATCAGAAATATTTCACCATGTTTTGCCTAAGTCACTCTAATATAATTTGGGTTTTTGTGTAATATTTTTTCCTTTATTAAATAAAATATTTTCTTGACATCAGATTTACTTAATTGGAAGACATTAAATCTATGTTGTTTTTACAAATCGACAAATGCAACTCAATTTTTGAAAATGTTCAATACAAACTTTTTGAAAGTATTCTTGCTTTTTTTTCCAATGTCTTAGTCGACCAAACTTAGTATTATATGATAAAAAAGGAGAAAACTTTCTATTGTATTAAGTACTTTATTTTATAATTTTTAAATATTATTTTTAAAAAGCAATGCAATTTACTATTTTAAGTAATAAACATGATAAAGGAAACAAATTGCATATTAGGAATTAATTACAAAGATTTGTGCTTTATTTTACTATCGAAAAATAAACTAAAAAAAACTATTCAACTAAAATTGTATACATATGAAATTACAAGTAATAAACAAAATTTCTGTGTTTATTTTTGATTTTTATAAGGATATATGTAAGTGCAGATAATTGTATTCAACTTATCTTGGAAATTAAAAAAATTATTAATTTTTTTTTGTTGCATTTTAAAAAGCAAAAAAAAATTTAAGTAATTTCTTATTAAAAAATAAAATTTGAATTGTCGAATATTTTTGGTCATTTAATTTTTTTGACATATTATGTATGTATGTAAATTCTAAAAATTTATTTAAATAATTTATTCATTAATAATTTTAAAGTTTAATAAAGGAATAATACAAAAATTTATTTTATAAGCAATTGCAGTCTTCTAATAGCGAAATGTCGACTTGTTACCCAAATTATAATGTTTTAAATAAGCTTAATATTCCATATAATGTTATTGGTGATCAGGGCGAAGAGCTGGCGCAAGTTAAGCAACAGGATGTAAATAAAGTACGTGTTTTGAAATAATTTTTTTTTTGTTATGTATGTACATATGTATGCTATTAATTTCTTTTATATTCTAATTTGAAATTAATATTTTAATTTATATTTGCAGCTGATTGAATTGGAAGAAAGTAAATTAATGTAAGAAATATTCTAATTACATATTTCATCACAATTTATTTTTTATTGTAAAATATTTTCTTTAGAGCTTGTCAAGCTGAAGAAGATGTAAATTTAAAAATATTGTTATTAGAACTTGATGAATTATGGCAGTTAAAACAATGTGTTGGCAATGAAAGTTTAAAAGAACTTGAGCAAATGATAGAACGATTTCGAAATAGAATTCAAAATATGGTATATTGAAAAATTATGTTTTTCATTTTAGAATTTTAGATTGATTTTTTTTTTTTTACAAAAGTTTTGTAGTTTTTATTTTTATACAAATTCAATACAAATTTTTCTTATATTTAAGGCAATTGATCAGACATCAATGAAAAATAAGTTGCAGCACATGAGAGAAACATTATTAAAAATTGTAAATGGACAGTATGTATGTAAAAACATTGAAAATGACCGCACTGATTGTAACGATATTTCACCAAATGGAAATAATTTTGATATTGAATTGTTAAGAAGAGTTAATGAGAAAATCTTTAAATTGGAGAATGAACTATGCTCTGTAAAAAATCAATTTGGAGGACTTCAATTAGAAATTGAAAGTAAATATTTGAAAATTATGATTAATCTTACGATTATCATTCTAAAAAAATTACACTTTTAAGGGACTCATTCAAATCTCAATTCAAAAGACCGAATATTAGAAAAGCAAAAATATATTTTGAAACATTTAGCAGAATATCTTGGGCAAATTGTAAATATAATATTATTTAACATTTAAAATCAATTTATAATATTTTGCAATTATTTTTTTATTTTTTTATTTGATCTATATATTTAAAATTATTTAAAAGCATTAATATACTAGCCTTTAATTGATTTTTTTTCTCTGTATTTAAATAGATTGGTGTTCCTATTAATTTTGAAACAATTTTACAAGAATCGAACGAAAATGAAAATAAAGATTTATTTATTAGAAATATATTATGTGATGGTCTTGAAAATATTCTAATGAAAAAAGAAAAGACAATTAAAGAATTACAGGAGTATAATCAACAAATTGAAGATACTTTAAACGGTCGAGAAGTATTCTTAGCAGAAATTAATAACAAATTAAAAGAAAAAGAAGAAATGGTAAAGAAATTGTATTTACAATAATAACTAATTCAAAATTAACTTTTTTCAAAAATTTTAGATTCGACAATTAAATGAAAATCTTCATTATAATGAAGAGAGTATAAAAGTTTTAACACACGAAAAACATTGTTTAAATGAAGAAATACAGAAGCAATCAGCTTCGGTAATTAATATTTTTTTTATGTTTAAACATTTTTAAATCGTGACCATTTTCAAGTTTATAATCCAGATTATTTCTTAAAAATAATGGATTTTACTTCGCAATTTCGTCACTATCAGATGTGATATTTTTTCTAATGTTAATAGTGTTTTTTTGTATTGAAAATGGTTACAGTTTTAAAAAAAAGAGTTTTTTGTGGTTTAACATTATATTTGGCAATTAATTCGTAAAATATGGAGGAAAAAGATCTTAAGTTACCAAATTTTAAATTTTGTTTTGATTTTTCTTTTCTTCTTTAAATACACAATATAATATTTTTCTTTTATTATATTTTGTAAAAGAATTTATTATAAATTAATTTGTTTCTTGTTTTTTTTTTGCTTCAAATTTGCATTTTAGTTAAAAAATTCTGATATAAAAAAATTACTTAACGAAATTGAAGAACTGCAGACATTGGTAAGTTTTGCTATTTTTAATACATGACTGCTTATTTGCTTTTTCAAATTTGGTCTAAATTAATATCGTAATTTTTGTATTGTAAAATTTTGTCTGAATAATTTCAAATCAAATTTGTTCTTATATTTCTTTTTGTCCTGATACAAAATTTATGTGCAATTACTTTTGCAATTTTTGTATGATTAATTTATAATTAGTGAAGGACAACTATTATCAATTATTTGTTACCCTATAAGATTCAATTTTGTGTTAAATATATTGTTTCTTTCTTTTTTTTTTTGAATTGCTTTACTAATTCAGAATAAAAACCAAGTGACGACAATATCCAATTTAATGGAGGCTTTAGAAAATATTAAAAGAGAACATCATACAACTGGTAACGTTTTTAATAGTAATGAAAGATTAGGTAATGTACAAAATAGCAATACAACAGACACTTCGGATATAGTAGATAATACTCAAAACAGAAGTGGATCTTTATGGGGTTGGTTCCGTGGTAATACTTATGATGTCTGATATTGTTTAGCTAAGAAAGAGTCTACTATAATTACTTTAATTTGTTTTTTTTTTTTGTTGAAATGAATGAATTTATATTTATATTTTTTTATAGAAATAATTATTTATTCGTTAATACAACTCTTATTGTACTAATTAAAATAATGAAAAAAAAAAAACAAAATTTTATAAAATATAATTTTCTTGGTTTTATTAAATTTTTCAATTTCAACTGGTAATCCGGCTGGATGAGTCCTTTTCTTTCCCCGAATATTTCGCTGTATTAAAAATTAATTTTTTACTTGTCTTATTTTTCAAAAAATAAATTATTTTTATTTTTTTTTTCGATATTTTATTCTTATAATTTTTCTTTTCTTTCTATTCCTTTAAGAATGAAAAAATTCGTAAAATTGCTGAAATCCTTAGAAATGAAAATTTACTTTTTAAAGAAAGTATTACTCAACGTCTTAAAAGTTACTTCAATAGCTCAGTCCCAATAACTGAAGTAAGTATTCTATTATTTTATGTATGAAAAAATACTCAATTTTATTGAAGTAAATTTTAGAATTTTGTAAGTGAATCAATTATATTCTAAAAGGAAATTTGATGAAATAACTAACACTTCTAAGTTCTCGATTTACTTTCTGTACTTGTTTTAATTCATATTTTAAAGTTTAACTCAATTTAATATAAATCAAATTGTATGTACGTTTAATACTTGTGATATAACATATTTTGATTGGTTGCAACCAAAAGTTGCTCATGGTTGGCAATATTCATCTAGCTTTGTCAAAAATTAATATTTATTTGATTGAAAAATATTGAATTGAAACTTTGCAAAATTCTTTAAGTAGGAAAATAGAACAAGTTCATATTCTATTTAATTATAAAATTAAGGATTTTTCAATTATTCGTAAATCGCAGTAAAAAGTCACACTCGTGACAATTTCTAATTTTTAATTCGCGATGAATATTGAAAAAATGCCTCCTGATTAATTTTAAATTTATTATTTCAATTAATTATTTCTTATGTAATTCTCATATTGAATGCGTAACTAAGTGTAGGTTATATTCTAAAATTAAAATACCTATAAATTTTCGGCCCTGTGCATTTATTTGTATTTGCAATACGAATAAAATTTTTGTTTTGTTTAAATCGGAAAATAAAGAATTTTAAAATTAAATTGAACAAAATATAGGCATTTATAATTAATTATATTATCGAAAAGTTAAATAAGAATAACTTAGAAACTAATGCTTAATATGTATATATGTTTATGTATAGATTGCTAAATGTTATGAATTTTCAAATAGCATTATAAATGTATGAAGATGCTTTATTTATTAGTAAGCATTGAAATATGAATATAGAAAAATAATTATTTGTGCCATTGTATTCCGTTCAAATCAAGGTAAATTTAAATAATATTAAAGGTTTTAAGTAACAAATTAAACTAGAAATATACTTATATGTAGGCATATAACATCAGTATGTTAACATATTCTATAATATTTTTATAATATTTAATATTGACAGTTAACATTGATATTTCTATGTATGTAATTGAAATTTGAATACTAGTAGTAAAGGTGAAATTTTTATAAATCGAATTAAGTAAAAATTGGTTTACATATAAAACATCATTTCATTTTTATATATAATTGCTTAGACCTTGTATTTCACATATCCTACATTCTAAATTTATTATTTTCTAATATGTACATACTAAATATGTACATATAATTAGGAATATACATATGTATATTAAATTCATTTTATAGGAATAATTTTTTTTCAACAAAGGGTGGTAATGCTATTTTTAAGAATTCTATATTCGGAAGAAAAAATTATGTTTTCCGATTTTTGTTTTTTATATTTTATTTACTATTTTATTTTCTATGTTCAATGTAACAATTGTTTTGATTTTGAAGTCTGATTTAATTTTAATTTATTATCAAGATTATCAAATTGTTGATAATTCTGAGTTGTCTTTTTGATAAAAATCGGTTTAAATAAGTCGTTTTAAATTATTCGAATTACTTGAAAAGTGTTGTAATACTATTTATTACACTTGATTCAGCAAATACAATTTATAAGCTGAATTATATATTAACAGCATGTTTTTTATAAATGGCTGCTTTTAATTAACTCAAGACAAGTTTTGCTATGCTAAGTGTATTTATAATTGGATTCTGCTGTATAATATAGGATGTTGAATGCGAAAACATAATATAGGCAACATTACTGCACATAATTTGTGGTATTTATAAATAGGTATAAGTATAATAATATTATGTCATAAATTCTAAGGTGTATGAGAAAATTTACATCTGAAGTAATCTAGGTTAACGGTTAACTGTTTCATTGACATCTAAATTTAAAAAAATCTATAAATATATAAAATAAAATACCCATTATTACATATAGCGACTAACATGTTTTACGAATGAAGGAAGTAAAAAATTAACCAAATAAAAAATAAAGTAAAAATCTTTACTGCAAAATATGTAACAATAAAATGTGGGTTAGGGTTTGCGTTAACATGCACGTACATAATAATGAATGAAAACCTTAAATTTTATTGGCCGGTTTTTGTTTAATCCCTAAAGATATTGTAAATACATTTAAAATTACAAAAATGTACAGATAAATAGAGCATATTCGATCAGTTTTTGAATCTAAACTTTAAAAACAGGGGTCCGAACTAATTTATATTTCAATTTTCTATTACATGTGGTTATAATTTTTTATAAATTGAGGCTTTATTTCGTGTTAAGAAAAACAAGGACTTCCGAGACTTGAAAATTTCAGCACTACTATATTGATGATATTATACATAGGTTGTAAAATGTTATAATGTCGATATGGAATATGTTTATTTCAATTCATATTTTATGTTATAATTCCAAATCATTGGCTTAAATTTTGAACAATTTCGTTGTACATAATTCAATTTCTATAGGGCTATTATGTATTCAATGTTAATTTAAAATTAAGTATCTTTTCAACAGATATTCAGTAAATTTGTCATGCAATTTATAAAAGAGTTCTATGTACAAACTCTAGCACGTACTGTTTAGTATAAAAACAAAATTTCATAAATATATATATACATATACATATACATAAATTACATTTTTCCGTACACACTGTTTTAACATACATATGTATACATACATATATATATTTTTGGATTAAGTTTTTTGTTTTTATTCGAATTTGAAAGTGTCATGTTGATATCCTTTAGCACGTTATTTGAAATACAGTTACTGTTTTTTTTAAATTGTATTCGATAATAGATTTTCCATTTATCGTATCCCATTATTTCCAAGTCAATTGTTTTTTTTTGGTACATAAATAAAATATTATGCAAATTTATAATAATTCCTTATCGTTTCTTTAATGAAAATGGAATTTATTTTTGGTTAATGGAAAAGATTCCAATGATAACATTTACTTAACACTTATAAGCCAAATCTAATTTTCAACAATAAGAACCTATTACCTGAATTGCTTGCCTAACACGTTATTACTACAATTTCAATTTGTGGCTATGTTCTGCAGCTTCAACATTATGTCAAAGATGACATATTTACTATAGCACATATAGTGTCAATTTGATTAATTCAGCAATTGAAATTTTATTGCTGAATAAGTCAAGTTGATTTATGATCAGATTTATGATTGAAATTTGCTCTGTTTTTAAAATATTGTAGTTGAAATAGTTCATGTAAGGTGTTATGATTGTTTAAATTCTTATTTTTAAAACAAATCGAGCCAATAACGATAAAATAGAGTAAAAAATTGAATGTACGAAAATACGAGTATTATTCATGTATTTGCGAAAATTATTTATTATAAGGAAGGAATTTTTTTTTTTTGTTTTCTAAGGTGTTTTTGAGAAGACTTTATATACATATAAGTAATAAAGTTACCATTTCTTAAGGAAAATTTGTGTGAATATATTATGTATAGAATTTTAGATATTTTATACTATGCTGCTGACGTTTTAATTTTTTAAAGGCGGACAATAATAATCTGAAAAAAATTCGTTGAAATTTTTAATGTCAAAATAATTTAATAAAAAATTTGGAAAATTTAATTTATCAAATAATTTTTTTTTAACAATACAATTTTAATTACAGGTTATTAAAAATAACAATAATTGACTTATTCAGCAGAATAAATTAAATTGCTGAATATAATAAATATATGCCTTCTTGACTCCAAAATTGCTATTGTAGTAATCAGGTATTAAATACGTAATTTAGTTTATGAGTTGTTATTGCTGAATTACGTATAGCAACCTTCCGCAAACTTTTGTGAGTTATTGGCAAATAATGTATTATTTGAGTATGAGCCATTCGGACTTCGTACATTGCCTACTTACAAGAAGAAATGAGATTTTCAATTGACATGATTGATTGTTTTGTTTTGACAAATAATAAATTTACATGGAATTTAATGTACTTACATTAGATAATTATCTATAATTGAGTTCTAAAAATTTTTTTGAAAAAAATTTTTCAAATTTTAATAGTCGCAATTGTATATTTTTTTTTTCTTACAAGCAAAATAATGAGTCGCATTTTGAAGTTGAATGTGACTCACTTTGCCTCACGGCTGGCGTATAGTAGTACAAACTTTATTTTCTTTGTGAATTCACTGTTTTATCTGAAATACAATATGGTTAGTCTAAAATTGTTTGTTCTTAGTACTTATTTAAAAAAATATTTTTCGTTTTATATAAATTTCTTTTGATTGAATTTAGTTACAATTTTCTTATAATATTTTATTGAATTTATTGAAAGAACACGGAAGAAACAAAAAAAAAAACCAATAACAGTGAAATATTTTTAATACAACATTTAGATCAAAAATATTTTATTATCTAGTTTCGAAGTCAATATTCTAAAATAAGAATTTAAAACAAAAAAAAAAAAATATTTACTTAAACTATATTAGATTTCAATATTGTCTGGATAAATTTACTTTGTTCTAGTTTTTCTTTAGATTATGAGAAGTCACACATTTAGTTGGTTTTGAACTTTGAGTTCAACGGGGTGTCATTTGAAAACGCTTCACATATAATATCAGTATTCTATTTTATTTTGTTTTAAGAAATATGAATTTTTTTTTCTTAATAAAAAAAAAATAAACATTGTTTGCAAGGATACGTGCAAAATATAATATAAGGGACATTTTTTTTTTTTATTTCTGTTTGATAATTGTTTGTATAAAAATATTGTATGTGAAATAAAGTGTTGGGGTCTTTATTTTCCTCTCTTTTACATTTCATGTCATTCTTGTTTTCAAAGTATAATATAAAAAAGTGCTTACCTACATAAAAAAGTTTTGAATTTTTTTATGAAATACGATAATAATCAAAAAACTCAACACCAGATAATTTTCCTTGAAAAAAATATTTCAATGTGTCTAAAAATTATATTAAAAGTTTTTCATTATTGCTTATTTTTGCAAGAATATTTTGGAAATCAGTAACAAGTGTTAAAAATTATAAATTCAAAAAAATTATTGAAAATTAAAAATACAAGAAATAAATTAAGTGATGTAAGGAATGAAAAATTATAATTTTAATGGAAAATGAAAATTTAATGGAAAGTTTTTTTCTCAAGAATTAAAATTTTAAATTAAAAATAATTTCGAAAAATAGATTTCGGAAAAATTATTCGAATATACGGTGTAATTGAACTGAAAATTAATAGAAATGAAAAATTAATATAATATAAAAATATTTAATTTAATATAAATTTGAATGGTGCTTTTGCAAGTGATGTACACTTTAAAAATACCAATGGTTTTTATTAAATTTTACATGTTACAATTTTCTAAAAATTTGGATTAACTTTAATTCTTAATAAAATAGTTACATATATTGAATTTTTTTAAAAATTTATTTGTTTGTAAAGAGCAAAACATAAAATTTGTGTCCAAAAGTGATTTAGAAATCCCAAAATATCAGTAAGTTAAAAACTGAAAGTTCTCAATTTTTTGACATTAATTTAAAAGTTTAAAAAATTGATTGAGCAAAATTTCTATTGAATTTTTATGTTATGAGTAATTTTAAAATTTTCTCACAAAATTTTAAATGAATTATTTAAAAGTATGAGTGAGTTTTTTGAGTGATAATTTAAGATTTTTAAATAATGAATAAATTTTAATACAGTTTCAATAATTTTCTGTTTCATTCTAATTTTTTAATGATTTTTTTTTTTATTAATTATTAATTAGATTAATTAATATTAAAGTTTAATAAATATAATAATTTGAAATTTTTGTTAGCTCACAAATTTCACTCAAGAAAATATAAAAAATAATTGGTGATGTTAACACTACGACTATAGGATAGATCGAAAATTTTATGTTTTTAGATAATTAACCTAGGCGACATAAAATCGAATTAGAGATTAATATCTAAGCTTAAAAGTGTTCTTAAATATCTGAAAATAATAATACCAAAACTAGATATTTTCATTACAAAATTATTGCTAAATATTTTATTTTTAAAATTCAATATCTCTAAAAACCAATAATTGCGAGGCCTGGCCTAACCAATATATTAATAACATATTATCTAGTTGTAGCATTAACCTCACAATATTTAATTTAATATTGTAGTTTATTAAATTTATAAAAATATTTAATAAAAAACATAAAAGTCAATTAAAAAAATTAATAATATTTTAAAAATTGTATTCATATGAATTAATTTAGTTTTCAAGATTCTATATATAAAAATTGAATATTTTTAATCACAGAATATTATATGAGAACGTCAATAATGGAACATGACGGTAATAAATTCCTAAAACATACTTACATACATTATAATATAGATTATTTTACATGAAATATTTTTAAACTCAGAAATTAATTGGAAAAAAAAAAGTAATTTTGAAATTTTAAATTATTGTAATTAGAACTGATGTATGACACAACAAAAAAATTAGTAAGTAGTAGTGCACAAGTCCATCTGACATGATCGCATAATATTGTGTGGGAAATCAAATTTAATGTGTTCGAAAAAAATTCAAAACTTTAAAGATTTTTTATTTTTGCTTCTATATGCAATTATCTCGATATATGTATATATATATGATGTACATATATGTACATATACTTATTTATTTGCACATAATTTCAATATCTGCATTATTTTCTGATTGAATTTTCAGCAATTTAATCATTTAATTTTCAGTTTTTTTTTTTTTTTTACTTCAAATTTCCAAATATATGTAAAATGAAAAAATTATTTTTATATCTTTTAGAATAGTATTGTATAGGATATGTAGGACTGGGTGCTACTCTTGTGGCATGGTGATAGAGTCGATCCAAACGTACAAAAAATAATATGAAACATTTTCTATTTTCTGCCCTCTTTTTCAAGTTTTTGTGTATCTCATAGATGGCGTTGGTGAAAAGCGTCTAAATTTTCCTTTAAACTTGGAAAATAATAAAGATTTAGAATAAATTTAAAGGATTAATTTTTAAGCTCACTGGATCGGTAGTCTCAGACACCCTGTATATATATACATACATACATATATAAAATTTTCTTGTAATCTTTTTTCCATTATTATAGTTTAATTTCAAATAATATTATACATTTACTTTGTTTCTTTTCTTTTACTACACATTATTCTTTTTAATATAAAAAATATAAAATAAATTTAATATTATAGTATAAAAGAATGTGTGTGTGTATATAGAATAGTTTTTATTTCGTGTAGTCACGAAATTTATTAGGTATAATTGTGTTTAAGTATTATATTATGTATTCTATATATAGTGTCGATTTGAAATATATTTAATATGTTTGTAAATAAATGAAAATAAAAAAAAAATATTATTGTATACAAATGAAATAAAAATATATTTTGTATACAAGTCCTTTGCACTACAGTTCCTATTTTAGTATTTTGAATTTTGTTAAAATTATTTAAACATTATACATTATTTGTACAAATCCATTATTTGTACTGTTGCAAGCAATTTCCAAATAATTCCAAGGTGTAATATAGAATTTTCTTAGAAAATTTATGTTCTACCGAAAATTCCAACAAATTTTTAATTTAAACTGTCATATGAATATTTATTGAAATAAAAGAAGAAAAATCGATCTTGTGAAAAAATCCTGAATTACTTCAGCGTTTCTTCCTATAGTAATATTAATATTATTAAGAGTAGTATTATAGAAGCACATTTACAATGAGAAGCACATATACATCTGATCATATTTTCTGGGTAAAGGCAATTTTTAAGAAAGATTTCAATGCTATTGAAAGTACCTTCTATTGAAAACAAAAATTTGTAGGATTTTCAACAGTTATTCGATTTTTAAGAAAATTTCTAAGTAAAAGGCGTAGATTTTTTTAACACATTTTTCCATATGACTATGCTTGGTATCCAACTGTCAAATTTCTTGAACCGTTCCTAACAAGTCCTATTTAATATCACGGATTTTGTTGCGTTTGTGGTCACTCCAAAATCCTCGTACTCCTGGATATTTATGGTGGAGAAGAAAAAAGAAAGATTAAAACGAGAAACGGTATAATTTCATAATAAGAATTACAAATTCTATACGAAATATTTTACACATGGGCTAGTTATTAATATTTTTAAAATGATTTGTGAGGATTTTTTTTTTGTTATTTTTTTTTCATTGTTTTTTATGTAAAGGATCTTAAACGTATTGCAATTTAACACTTTTTACACAAAAATTGATATATAAGAAATTTATCATTGAATAATTTTATTTTTACTGCTTTCTAATGGTAAACAATATAAAAAATATATTTATGTATTTAAATGTGTGTATGTATATTTTATTTTACAATATTATGTAGGTATACACCAGGTCTCAATAATATTTTTATTCTCTTATATGTATACCTATATTGTAGATTTATTTGACCTCGATATTAAAAATAATAATTCATTGTCGATATGTGTTATAATATCGTATAATATTATCCGTCTATAAATAAATAAAATCAAAAATACAAAAAAAAATTTGTTGAAATGTATGTGCTAAGAAAAAAACAAATAAAATAATAAAAATTCATAACCTAATAATCATCGATAATAGCAAGAAAATCACGACGGAACGTCTTTGTTTTTTATTTTTATTTGTATTTAAATTTAGTTTTATAATATTGAAGATTTGCAATATTTATCGTCGTCTAAGATCAAAAATACACTAAGTAAAATTTTGAAAATTTTTCGGGAGAGGGATTTAAAGTTTCTTCGCTTTCTTTCATAATGTGTGCATCATATATGGTTTTCCGATTATATAAAATGTAAAATTTCTTAAATTTTAAATTTCATTTTTTAACGTTTAAGAAATCGAATTCAAAAACTAGTTTTTAAGAAAATTACAAACATTTGTAATATGAAAATTTTCTAAATTTTCTACTAAAATAAAACAAAACCAAATAGAAAATGTTGTTTTTAGATTAAGAATTGTAAATTAAGGCTAAAATTTAAAACAAATGAAACAAAACAAAAGCAAAAACCAAGTTTTGCTCAAAAATGGATTTAGCACAATTCTGATTTAAAGCGTTTATATCATTCTGATATCAACTAAAATGGAAAAAAATATTAAAATCTAAAAGAATAAAATATTTTTTTTTAGCATTTTATAAAGTTATTAAAATTTAGTTTATTTCATACCTTAAACTAAGTGTGAATGGAAATGATTTAATAAATTATTTAAGAATTTTTAAAGTGTTTTGTAAAATTAATATTAAATCTATCATTTATTAGAATATTAAAAAGTTTAATAATAATAAATAATAATTTAATTTTCAAAATCAAAATTATAAACTTTGTTGATTTTGATTATAAAAATACATAATGATTAAAATATGAAAACAGAAAAAATTGCATACACTTAGGAGAAGTTTTGAGAAAAAAAAAATGAGTATGAAAAAATTGAATAATTTTTTCTTACAAACAAATTTCTTTTCAACATTCTTTGTTAATCACAATTGGATACGAAATTTGACTTTATGTTAGTGGAAAATTTTTATTCTGTGGAAATAGTAAATTGGATATATTGGATACATTTTTGGATATATTGGATACATAAATTGCAATCAAATTAATTTAATAAATAGTGAATTTTAGATTAAAAACTTGAAATTTGCTGCAAAACTTGTTGTTAGTTTGTGTGCAAGTGTTACATAAAAGTTCTGAAGAAGAAGAAATTTTGATTGGATAACACAAGCCTAATTATAATTTATAATAAAATTTTGAAAATTTAATAAGAATTTTATATAAATTTGAAAAAGTGAAATAAATATTATTAATCATTCATAAATTTATTAACGTATTAAGGTTGAAACTAGTAATTTTACAATTAATATAAAATGTGTTCAGTATAATTAGATAAAAAAAAATTAAATACATTAATTTTTTAAAAATGCAATTATTTTTTAAAATTAAAAGTAAATTAAATAAAATTAATTTTTAATAAGAACTGTTGAATTGGGAAATCAAATGGGAAAGATGAATTGGGAAAGATAATAATAAAATTTCTCAAAAATTTAAAGAAAAACTTGGAAATTAAATATTTCAAAAATTTAATTGAAATTTAATTTTTCTTTTTTAATTAAAAATCAATGTTACAAAATGGTAAGTTAATATTAATCAAAGCTTTAATGTCATTAAAAATATTTTTCATGAAGCACTTTCATAAATAGAAATTCATTTTAGGGTAACCAAATGTGTAAATTTTATTGAATTGTTATATTTGGTTACTTTTACAGTTTAATCCTGTATCTCGCTTTTTATTCATTTTCAAAGCAAAGCTTTCATATTTTCATTGGAAATGTCATTTTTCCAATAAGAGTATTTATTTTTGAATTTGGATTTTCGATATTTTTTTTAGAAATGAACGAAATGTGAAAAATGAACGAAAAAATTTTTCTCACTCGAAAATTACATAATGTATGATACACACTCATTTCTCACTAGGCGAGTAAAAAAGCGACATACTGAGATAAAGAAAGTATTTGACATTTTCGTTAAATTTCATTTCATGTTTTTGCACTTAAAATTCTTTAACAATAAATTGTAAATACAATAAACTTTAATTTTTTATTTTTACATATATATTTTTTTTGTGCAAATAATGTACAGAGAAAATATCATCGTTTTTCATATCCATCAACTGTAAAAAACACAAAAAGTTTGATGCAATCAAATTTGATATCAAATATTTCATCAGATAAATCTTTATCACAATTTATTCAACCATCGCAAACACAATTAACAACTTCAGAATCTCATTTAACAACAACTATACCAATAGCAATCAAATATTCTTCACAAAAAATTAATCAAGAAATTTCATCTAAAGAAAACGATAATTATTATGGCTATGGCCAAAGCTCTTATTTATCACCATTACAATCATCTTCTAATCTTATCAGTTATAACAATAATAATAGTAATTATCGGAGTGAATGTGAAAAATATCGTAATATTGTGAATGATATGACAACAGATCTTTCAGAATTAATTAGTCAAGTTCAAAATCAATTTGATGAAAATGATATTGTTATGACAGAAGATAATACAATAAGATTTGAGTCGACCTTAAAAGAACTTGAAAATCAAAATGATTTATTACAAGATACAATTAAAAAACTTCAATGGAAAAATTCACATAGTGAGAGCATTTACAACGATATTTTAAAGCACAAAGTTAGATTTTTATAAAAATTTTATTTTAAATTTGTAATAATGATAAAAAATATTTAATATGTATATATTTATGTAGCTCTAGAACTACATTATTATGTATAGTTTTTATGCACCGATATTATTTTATTTCTATACCCTAAAATGTTTTCTCGGTTTAGAACAGACACGTTCAATTTTCCAAACACCACCGTTCATTAAAATTGAAATGAAAAGAAATTGTTCTTTATATTCTCCAAAAGTCATAAGTCAAAGTAAAAGAGCATTTCGGTTTTTATTCCGCCATTTTAATGAATCTAACGTTCTGAACTTAAGTTTTTAATTTATACTTAATCAGTTAAGTTTATATTGTTAATTAAATCAATTGGTTTTGTGTATATAACAAAGACCATATTTGACTCATTTCAATTTTTTGTAAATATTTGACCCAAGACAAGCTAACTCTTGCCAAATATTGTAAATATTTATACATGCATATTTTTTAACACTTATATAAACAAAATGATAACATAGCCAATAAAAAATATTAAAAAAAAATTTCTTATTCGGTTATTTTCAAATTAATGTACAAAATTTATTTCACCATATTCAGGAAGAGCAATATAGAACAAAAATTAAGTCTTTGGAACAGGAACTCGATCAGAGTAATACCAAGTATAATGCATTGAATAGAAAACATCAGGCCCTACTATATGATGTAAAACAGTACAAAGAGAAATGTAAATGTGGTGCAGTAAAAGCAGTTGAATTTGATGATAAAGATGCTGTACTATCAACAATGGGCCGAAAATCAGGCCAAGATCTTACTCATATATTTGAAATGATGGAAAGAAAAGACGATGAACTAAAAGTACTAAAAGAATTTTCATCTAATGAAAAAACTCGTTTAAATAAACGTATTACAGATGCCGAAGAACAGGTATAACAAATATAGCCAAACATAATATTAAAAATGCTTGTTTCACAATTTTCACTATCCGTCATTGAATTTCTAAAATTCAAATTATGCAGTCGTGGTTTTAATTTTAATCTACAAAGGAAAGATGTTAAAAATTTATAATTTTTTCTTTCTTTTTTCCGATAGATAAAAGAATATGAAGTACAAATAGCTATATTAAAAACAAATTTCGAGAAAAAAGAAACCGAATTAAAAGATCTTAGAAGAGAATTTGCTGAAAGAACTGGTATTCTCTTATTTAAATGCTCTTTATATTTTAAATATAAGTTGAATTATTCGATAATGGCTAATGTTATTGTTGTTTCATTTTTAAATAAATTTTTTTTTAACAGATGACACACAATTCAGAGACATGATCGATAAATTAACGGGTGAATTATCTGAAGAACGAGCTCTTCGTAAAGAAAGTGAAACAACATTAGAAGCAAAAGTAAAAGGTCTTGAAAGAGCATTAGATGAAACACGTACATCATTAGTTAAAGCAAATGATTCTTTAGCAACATTAAAAGCTTCAGCTGCCGCATATCAAAAACAAAGTGAAGCTGCCATCAAGGAGGTACGAGGTATATTTGCGTATATATAAAACGCAATAGTATAATAAAGTTTAGATCATATTGTCATATTATTTTTGGTAAAATACGGATAAAAACTAAAAAAAAAATATTGTTCTTAAAATAAAAATTTCCTAATTAAAAATTTTAATTTTTTTCGTTTCATCTTTAATCGAAACCATATTTAGAACGATATTCTTCGCCAAGAATTATTTGCAATGAAAGGGAATGTCGCAACACTGGAAGGCACTGAACGTAGTCTTAAAAGTCAATTGAGTAAAACACAAGATGAAGTTCAAAATTTACGTACTGCTAATGTTAAAATTAAGGTAACAAATTAATTTTTTTTTTTTTTAATTATTTTTAAAATGCATTAATAATTTCAATTTTTAGACTCTAACAGAGGATGTGGATAATTTCAAACAAAATTGTGTTAGATTAAAAAATGCAAATTTTGAATTAATAGCAAAATATAATAGTCTCATAGAAGATTACAATACTTTGGCTGATGAATTTCGTAAATTATCTGAATTAAATGATGTTATTGAACAAGAATTGGAAGTTCTAAGAAAATGGCAGAGGGATCAAGTTAAACAGGATAATACAATGAAAGAACATATTCAACATTTAACTGATCACATAGAGTATGTTTTGCTTAATTTTTTTTTTTTAGTTTAAGGTGTGCTTATAAGAATACACTAGTGTATTCTTATAAGATCAAATTTTATTAATAGAATAATAATTTGGTTATAAATTTTATTTAATTAATAAATTTTAAATACTTTTTTAGAACATTATCGGAAGATCGAGACGATTTAATACAAAAAATTTATGATTATCATCAAGACTTATTAATTGTGTCGTCTGAATTGGATCACTATAAAGAAATTTTTGCTGATACAATGGGGTAAATAAATAGTTTTTCTTCTTAAAATATTTTTATTTAACAAAATTTAATAATTATTTCTTATTCATTTTAATGCTTTCGTATTATTGTTGAAATGACAATAAAATAGCGAAGCGCATGATAGAGCTAGTCTTGCAGCAGGAGAAATGCCGGGACAAGATAGTGTATATATATATATATATATAATATAAATACTATGATTTATAGAGAAGTTATTTGATTTGATAAAAGTAAAAGGAAAAATATTAGACGAAAAAACAAATGTCAAACCTAGAATTAAAATTTTATTGCTTAATGAGTCTAGTTGACATTAGTTCTAAGCATTAAGAATTTAGGGGGACGGCATTATGCTTAAAATTATTTTAATCAAATTAAATTCATTTAATTCCATAATTGAAGACAGGAGTAAATGAAGGTTTCATCCATAATTTTTACAAAAATGGGTTTATTGCACAAATAGATGTTTTAAATGTTTATCTTTCATATGCAAAAACCCGTTTTTCAAAAAACGTCCCAGTTTTAGAAATAACTTGTCTTTAAAAAGTATTATAGGTCATGTTTTTTAATTTGACTTCATTCACTCCTGCCTTCAATTATAAGTTGAAAAAAATTTATTTTAAATAGAAGTTGCTTAACATTACAAAACCGAAGCTTTTAAATTCAATCAAATCAAATAAATTATTATTTAAATTAAAAACTATTATAAATTAAAATGATGACAAAAATATGTAATTTTCTTTTTTGTATTTTTTTTTTTAGGCCGACGCAATAATAAGAAAAATTTTAAGAACAGCTGAAAAATTATCACATACAAGAAAGACGTTTCAAGAGAGCTTAGACCGTCGCAATTCAAAATAATTAAATATTCAGTAATAATAAAAAAAAAAAAATTCAATCAAACAATCAATCAATTAATTCATCAATCGATCGATCAGTTAATCAATAAATCATTATCCTGCATTTCCTAATTTATTATTTTTTTAAAACAAAATTTTCTATATACAAATTTTAATTTAATAATTTATTTTTTTTAATATGTATACATACATACATACACGTAGCTCCCAAATGTGTTTCAATATATTAATTTTTAATTTAATTTCAAATAAAAATTGTAATTTTACTTTTTTTTCTCTATTAGATCTTTAAATTTGAAATAATTTTAGCTATTATTTTGTTAAAATAATTTTTTTTATACTTGAATTTCAAATTCTTATATAATACTATTGTGTATATATAGTTTATAGTGTTATACAGAAGGCAATTTTTGTAATTACACAATAGAACTACTTTTTTTGAGTAGCGCTGTTTTAAATTAAAAAAAAAACTTAATATTCATTCCTGGCCATCAAAAGAGTTTAGCTTGTTGGGTAATTACAAAAATTGCCTTCTGTATAGTACTATAAACTAAATACGCAATGGTACTACCTAAAAATGATATATGTACATACATATATATGTACTTAAAAATTTAATTATTATGTAATTATCCATTAAATTTATTTGATATCGTGATCATATAATGTTGTTGAACACATTTAATGACGTTGTTGCAAACTTCTTCAATACTATTATACCTCCTTACTTGTATTTGATTAAACAATACTAGAGTTTTTCTAGGATGCTCAAAACTGTGCATATTGAAGATCGAAAATCTAAAATTATACAAACAGAAAAGATGCATATTATTTATTAAATTTTTAAATAATTTAAAATTTGTTTCTTTTCATTTTAAATATTATATTTTAAAAAATAAAAAACAGTGATGGAATCTTTGACATTAGAATTGTTTAAATATTGTATGAGCAATTACAATTCATAAGTTGAATTGCAAATTATTGCAGTGTTTCTACAATTCTGATGTTTATTTCCTCACATTTTCTCGGTTAATTTATTTTTAAATTGTATAAATAATTTTTTTGAATCAGTAAAAATACCCTTATTGTTTTAAAATTATAATTTTAAATTTTAAAAAATTTCAAAAATTGCATATGTATGTGTTTTTGAATGAACTCAAAAATATTTTGATGCATTTATTTTTTATACAAAACTTTAATGTACAAATCAAATAAAATTCTTATTAAATATTAAATTTTAGATTAATAGAACAAAAAAAAAAAAAGTGTTATAATTTTTGGAAAAAAAAAAAGAAATTAATAAAATTTTCTCATATAATTTCAATCGTTAAAAGCAAAATACATAAATTAAAATAAAATGTAAACGGAAAATTCGTGAAAATAAATTTAAGAAAAATTTATTATTGTAGTTTTAATTTCAGTATTTAAGATTATTGTTCACTTAATATTGCATGTGTATAATTAAGAATCATATTTGTATGTTGATATTAAACCGATAATTATGTAAAAAATGAAATTGGGAATGTAGGCTTCTCGCCATTGTCAATTTATTTTCAACCTTGTAAATTTATTTCAATAAGTATAACATTCTAATTTTGCCTCATTATCCGCTAAAGTAAGTCGTCTATATTCATGTTCATTTTTAACATTTATTTTACATGTTGATCGTTGTTCATCTTGTTTACCTTCACATAAATATTTTCCTTTTTGAGAATTTCTGTTAATTGCGTGCAAGGCTTATGTTTTTTAAGTTCAACATTTTTCTTTGATAGAGATCTCCGTTCTTTAAATGCACTTTTGGCTTTTCTCTTCTTTGAGTTTCTTTTGACATTAAGAATCCAAACGGTTTCCAATTTTTCCAAATCGCTTATACGCGAATCGACCATTAGTTTAATTTCGCTATGTAACCGGGCTTTTTATATTACTTTCAGTGGTTTTACTTGTGTAGTTTTCTTTCGCCTTTATACGTTTCAATGGCTTTCTTTTTAACTTCCGCCATAGCGGGAGATGTTTGTGACTCTTGAGGTCTTTAATTTCGCGAAGTGTTCTTTTTTTTGCCACGGACAATTTCTCCGAACGTTTTAAATGTTAAACCAAGACCTCGTCGCCAGCCGTGGTTTCTGCCGACACTTTGGTTGTTATTTCTACAGCATTTATATTCGTATTATTGGACATTCCATATTGTTTTATTATATACGCTTATTAACTCCAGTCAGGTTTCGCTGCTGCCGTCCCTTTGCGATCAGACGAAAACTAACAAGCCATCCATTCAGGATCAAACGTACTTCCATTCGTATTGTTAGTGGACTCGTACTACAAGCATCCCTACTGTGGCTATTCCTACTCTCCAACTCACCGGGTAAGAATAAATAAAATTAAAAATTAAAAAAATCTGAAGAAATAGATAACACCATTAAAAAAATTTTTAAAACATGCAATCACAAACTGATAGTAATCTGTGAAAAACACTTAAAACGTAACTTCTAGTTGCCTATACATTTTGTTAAATAAGAGGAACAACTTAATAATTATAGTGCGCTTTATAGTAATTATAGTTTTAATAGTCCCGGAGTCTTGAATTCAATTGATGTTTGAAATTATTTTTTTTTACAAATTTTTGTGTTTTAAATAAAAAATAAATGGTTGAAAAAATTAAGTAAATCAGTTTAAATTTCAAGATTTTGAGGAAAAAAATTTGATAAAACCTTTTTTATTTTTTTAATTACCTTATATTTTTTATTTCATAAAACAATTAGTATTTAAAAAAAAATTTAATTGTACTTTTTATAAATTTATTTTCATTCTATAAGAATTTCAAAATGTGAATTTTAAAAGAATAATTAAAAAATTCTTTTTTTAAAAGAGATTCAACTAAATTGATATGAAAAGAATTTTTTTCCCAGATATTTCAGTATTTATTGCTGTAAATGACTCTTAAAACAAAAGAGTATTTTGTAATACAACCTACTAATTCCACATTTTTTTACTAACGGTTAGTAAATACTCAGTATAATTATTTACAACTAGAATTCATTAAACAGAACTTAAAAGCTCTTAAGAGATTTTTAGATAATATTTTAAACTTTTTGCTTAAGTAATCCAATTTTTTCGTTACACACTAAACAATACTTTTAATTTAAGATTTTTTCTTGTACTTAGAATAGAATATGGAACGTACATTAACTGATTACGAAAACCAAACAAAAACAGCCAATATAATTCCAGATTATACATTAAATTAATGCCAAAATTTTTCAAAGAGTTGATTCACAGCGCATTAGTTGCCTCCTTGCAAAAATGACATTTCGAGTAAAAAATATAGAACAGTTCTTTAGGCCATTAGAACTTTATTGAACACAATACTTGTAGCTCATTTTTGAAAAACTTTTGGATAGGCCATTAAAGAGCGTTTTAATTGTATTTAAAAATAAATTTGATTTTATTATGAAATAAATTTTTTTATATGATTCTAAATTAGTTAAAATATTCTAATATAATACAGAGAGAGAGAGAGAGAGAGAGAAAGAGGAAAAAAATTATGCCTCAAAATAAATTCTAAATGATAAAAAAAAACACACATCACGTTCCTGTAAAAATAGGTAGGTACTTAAGAATTTTCTTTAATATAAAAGAGCTTGGAAAAAATTGACTATTACAAAAAAAATTTTTTTTTTTTGTAAAGCGTGAGAATTTTAAAAAAGATAAAAAAAAAAGATAAAAGAGATTAAAAAAAAATTTTCATATTTTTCCAGATTTGAACTTTTAATGCTTCTTGGTATATAGGGTACCTGTATATATTACAAATAAAAAAAGTTAAACGAAATGAATAATTCGTACTTTACATTGTTAGCTGAAGTAGTACGAAATCTTTACGATGATATTTTAATTCAAAACACACTTTGTATGAAAAAATTTTAATCTTTACCATATTAATTTTTTAATTAGTTTCAATAAATTCTTGTAAATAAATAAAAAATAATTTCTTAAGAATTTCAAGATTTGAAATATTTTTCAAGATTTAAGAATTTTAACACTGAAAAAAATCTAAACAAAAAGAAGAGAATTTTTTTTATGAAATTCTTTTGGTAACAATTCCATACTTTCTTAGCCTATTGTGTTTTAAATTAAAAATTTTCATTGGATTAGGCTTTAAATTAGTTGCCGATATCCAAGTAATTTTTCAAGTGATCTTTTATTTTAAATTAATCCAATACATGATTTCTCGTGTAAGAATGCTTCTTTATTATTTAATTTTTAAATTATTAAAGTTTGTTATATGTAGAAAAAAATACAATAAAATAGTTTTGAATTGATCATGATCATGATTTTTCACATTATTGTATATATAAAATATAAAAATCCTGTTTATTGTTTCAAGTTAAAATGTCCCTCAGGAAAAGTTCTTGAATTTTTTTTGTTTTGGTATTAAGAATGGGTTTCATCGAAAATTCCATTTCTCTCTATATGTTCCTGAAGTACTTTAAAATTATTTTTAATCTAAAACTATAGACTAAAGAATATCGTTTCCAGGAAAGACCTGAAAGCATCATAACATTCAATATTGTTGTTATGAAGGTTAAATTTTAGAATAACAAAAATTATCAAATTATTATTATTTTTATTTTTAATAAATTACGTGGCTTATTGGCCATTTTCAATTATTATTTTTGTTTTTTTTTTTATTATTATTTTATGTTTAATAAATTTTTCCCACAATTTTGTACTTTATTATGCTTTTTAACCAATGATTTTTATTTTTTTTTTGTAGCTTAATCGAATTTATAATAAAATTTGTATTCAATATTATAAAAATTTTCAATAGAACCCCTACATTATATGAAATAAAAAACAAAATAATAAGAATTGAATGTATCGAATTAAGTACGTCCTAAAAAACGTGAACAATCAAAATAAATTTTAACAATCGATTTATATAAAATGATGATTGAACTTGTTAATGATTTCGGGCATGAAAGAATCGAATTATGTATACCTATATATTTCGATTTTTTGCGGAAAGTTTTTCTGTTTCAATGTAATTTTATACTTAAAAAAAAATTGATTTTTAATGCTTTTAGAACCTTGAAGAAAGT